TCCAGGCATGTCAAATCCTTTAACCAGTTCAGTCTGAAAGAAAATGGGATAAACTGATCGATGAAATTGTTTACACTGGGCAGAAAACAATGATAAGTGCAGAAGTAACTGCACATTTGGCGTTAACTGTGAGTATTTCAATCAGTGAAAGAGGCTCAGCTATGCCTGGATGACATTGTTTATGTTTCACTTCAAGTGGAACAAGTAATCTGAGAGTTTGAAATGAAGATGTACAAAGAAACCCCGTATGTTTCACTGATGGCTAATAATTCTGAGGTATAATCTAAGCAAGAGCATTTAGAATACTTACATCTCCCAGGGAAAAGATGCCCAAACTCCAGTAACACGGGGGAAATGTTGTCTGCATCAAACTGTTCTTTTTCTGAAATAAGAGTTATTGTTTGGTCTAAAATTAAGGTAAGAAAAATACCACCAAAATAGTCAAAATCCACTGAAAACCTGTTACTCCTATATCAGAAAAAAATGTTCTACCTCACACCTCTCAGATAACCAGGTTAAGGCTAAATTCAGAAGATTTGATCCAGATGCAGTATTTCGTTTTTTCTAAATGAGTGTGTCTTTTCTAATATTGAATGTGATTTCGTGCTTTAAAGGAGGATGAACAAACAGGGTAAGAGCAACAATGTTGAACCCCAGTTCATTTGATATCTGTTGCTGAATTCCTCAGTTTTATTGCCCTTCATGTGGTGGTAAAAAAACGCTGATGTTCAAACTGCTGAAGTCATAGGGCAAAAAGTTTGATTCTGACCGGCACAGTCGGCGTGGATAACATCCATAAGTAGTAAATAAAGTTTAAGAAAGAAATAAAAAAGCTAAGCTGTGAAAAAGCTGTATTTTTGCAACATTGGAGTTGAAAACTAAAGACTCTAGACCTGAAAACAAGCTGTTGAAACCCGGGGCAGACAAGAGGGGTAGACAGATCTCCCACCCAGTCAAGGAAGTGACACCTTTCACATCAGAATGAAACAAGAAAAAAAACAAAAAAAAAACTTCACAGCCTGGAACTGTGAAATTTGAAAAAGTTGAAAAGCAGTATCTGGGACAGGAAGCATTTATGAAATGTTATCATACATCTGCAAAGTTAAGTGCTGGGATTACAGGAATTGATTAATGAAAATCCTTTTCCTTCACATTATATTATAAACTTAAGCACAAGTTGAGTACCTTTGTGGTTCAGTCTGATAAGAATCTCACTTCTGTTATTTAGCATAGTCACATGATGGTGGGCAAAGGTCTGTTTCAGCCTGAATATACATTGCTCATCTGGCTCCATAAAGAAGGGCTGAAGGAGTGGAGCAGGTGGGCTTGAAGCACGTGGAGCGGTGTGGCCTGTAGGATGTGTTACTTCTGTGGTTTCGAAAGTGCTAAAAGCTGCTGCGATGGCTGGTACACACACCGAAAGTCACACTTCATAATCCTACTCTGCGCTTCCTCGCCCACCTTCCATCAAATGACGCATGGAGGTAAGAGACTCGTGGGCCTTTATGACAAAAACAAAAGAAAATGTGTGAAATCTGACAAATGCAAACACTGTAAATGGGAATATTGTGCAACTTTTAAACTGGATGGCTGGAACAAAAGTTGAGGTGACTTTAAAAACTAAATACAACAGCACATCACCATCTAGTGGTTTATATGTGCAAACCTTGGGCACTGCAGATACATCACTTCAGGTATGTTCATTATAGATCAAAAAGCAAGAATATATTAAACCCAAGGAGAATAGAATTAGTTTTCAACACACTCCATAAGCCTCAATCTTTTACAACACACAGTAACAGTCCAATGATCCCTTTTAATTCCATCTGGGCCACAAAAATCACAATAAATCTGTCAAATAATGCTTCAGCCAAAGGCAATTTAGTCAAACTTTCCGTGTTTTTGTGTAAGAAATGAACAACGTTCCAGACACTAAAGCGAGAGCAATTCAGAGAAATGGCAGGAAGGCAGCACAGTATCCATAAAAATAAAAGAAAATAAAAATTACAAAAAAAGACAAATCTTTGTTTTTGAAAGCATTAATTCGAGCAACAACTCTGACCAGTTAACTTGTGAATTAATTAAGCATTTGAACATTAACGACATCCTGGAAAGTTTATCTTGCAAATGCTCATATTTTTCAAATTTTTCCAATTTGACTCATCTTATTTGAATAGCTAAAGCAAAAGTTACAAAGGTGTAGCTGTTCTGGCTGGAAGCAATTTAAAATGTCAATATTTGTAAAAGCTAACCAAAAATCTGAGACAGAAACAGGACTGCAGGGAGCTGTGGAGCAAATGAGTTTAAGCAGAGAAAAAATATGAATGGACGGGATTCTTAAGTATCTCTTTTAAATCCAGTATCGTTTCTATTGAGATATAGACACTGAAAATAATAGAAAACAGAGGCAAAACTTTTATTTCCTTCCATAATAACAGATCTCTGAAGAGCAGTCAAGCAGTTCTTTACTGACAAAAATACATCAATGATTGCAGGAAATTCAAGGTTAGTTTCCTAAATGCTGTGTTTAGTAAAAATAAACTTTAGAATTATCTTTGTATATACACAACTCGATAAAAAACTAGATATTAACTTGAACTTTATTTCAACCATTTCTTTTTAGACAAGTTTTTTCAAATATAAACTATAATCATTCTGTACACAGCCTCTGAAGTCCTAAAGTTACACTTTCCTTTCTAAAGGATTTCACTGGTGAATCAAAAATACTGTACAGAAATTCACAGAAATGTAAACACAAAGTTTACGTATGCTCTCAAAGTTCATGCGCACAGACTCAAACAGATAGAAAGCTCTCCTGTCTAACCTGAGGGTTCATCTGTTCGCTTACTTTTGGTGGCGGTTTTAACCACAGAGCACACAAAGGTTACAGCTTGACCACCCATCTGCATCTCAAACAGCAGATATAAATAAAGTTTCCATTCCATCTTCACAGAAGGACTCACACAGGGCAGGTTAATCAAAGTAAAAGTCAGGCTTTGGCCTGGGCCTCTTTTGGCTTCCCCGCTTAGTAAGCCTTCCTCTTCATCTGACAAACCCACAGAGTGCTTTCACGTAATGAAACTAGCTTTTTGTGGCCACGCTGGTGTGCTAAAGTAACCAGGCATCGGATGAAAAGGACAACTGATGTGGATAAAGAGTCAATCATGGCACCAAACTAGAGTTTTGGTGAACTCTCATGCTCGTTTGTGTTTTTCTTTATGGTCGTTTTCTTGTTTGATTGATTTAAAATGTGTCATGAATTATATTGATGGTCGTTTGTGTACTGAAGACTGCTTTGGATGCCACTGTAATATCTGGTATTCTGATCATCAAACCATTACCTAAAGATACCTTTTAACTATAAGGCCAGACAGTAAAAGCCATGACAGGGAAACAATAATTTAGCACAGAGCTTTGAGGAATTTTGGGCACTTTTCAACATAGGATACCAGCCCCAAACTCTTCAAACACAAAACACTTTCACATTTCACTTTACCTCCCGAATAATGGTCCTCCTCGATGCCCCAGGAAAGCAGACAAAACCCCGATTCTTTGCAAGGATTTCATCAAACCTAAGCGACTCCTCCACAGTGACTACATTTATAGCATAAAATAGTGTGACCTTTAGTTGTTTTTACAATGTCTTCATTAGCGGTGCTCACAGGAGCAGAACCAGCAGCTCTGTTCCCTCTGCGCACGGTGCTGAGCAGCTGGGTCAGGCTCAGAGCTCCAGCGGGCCTTCAAAGTAGCTCAACCCCAAATCAGTCTGAACAGAAGCAGAGAGTGAGATGCAGTTAGTACCAGAAGGAACGTTACATTAACCTTTGTCTTCAGTGAAAATCACACAGTCCTGGGTGTCCCTGTGAGGCTGTGGCACCCGTCTCCTGACAGGATGTCCAGCAGACGTGGTCAGTTAAAGCCCCAGCGTGCTGTGCTGTCCAGGGTGGCTTCAGGCTTTTGGACACAGGCCAGCTGGCCTGCATTTACCCATTAAGTGAGTATTCTTCCATGAATCTATTCACCTACATTGAAATGGAACAGTCGCATGTGTCTCTGGTTAGAAAGAAACAGACTATTCCAGTCTAAACACATACCTTTTGAATGTAAAAAAAAGTAACTTTGTAAAGAACAAGTTGAAAAATTAACCTTAAGAAGTCAACATTTTATATCTTAAGGTGTTAAACAGTTTTAATCTGCACCCAAAACTCCACACTTCCATTTTAGACTAAATTAGTCTGTAAAGGAAGTACTTAAACCTTCTGTAGTCAAATAGAAAAAGCCCCATATTTTGCCTGCAGTGGGTTTGTAGTAAAAAAGATAGAAACTCCCTAGTTGGACGTGTTTCCACTATGCCAACCCTTGAAGAATCAGGAAAGCACAGGAAGTTGACAGATGTGGCAAAAACACATAAAGCAAGTGACGTGCCTCAATAAAATGTCGGCGTCGTGCACTCATATTGTTTTAAGACCAAGATCAACAAACAGAGCAAATGTGCGTTTGTGCTCACACTGAACATGCCCTCACATCGGAGACAGCGCAGGGATAAATATAAGACTGCAGGAATTCCTCAGTCATGAAGCAGCAGCCACACCTCGTGGTACACGTGGCTGCAATGTGAGTGATTTAAGACAGGCCCGTTTTAGCCCTGGAGCTCAGACGACGCATGTTGCCTGCTCCTGGTTAATTAGAGCAAAAGTGATAAGTTCACTCAGCTTTCAAACTGTGGAAAAATCAACAAGCCCCTAATGTGTCTGGAAAAGAAGTGACCAGCAGGTGTCGCCTTCAACATGCCAGGAAGCGGGGGGCTTCCTCTGGCTCCTTTGTCCTACTCTAATCTCCGAGGAGCTGCCGGTTCAGAAACACCCAGCTTGTTGGCATGCCCACCCGGATGTGGTACCTGCCCACTACTTTCCTGCAGAATGAACGCTCCCGCTGAAAACATGTGGCTGTGTAAAAACACGAGGCTGGTGTCAGCGTCCTGTCCACAGCGCACCTTGTGCTCTGCCCATCTCTGGGTCACACCAAAGGATCATGGAAACATCCAAAAATAGCGCAGCAGCAGCGCTTTACTGGAAGACCCTTTGGCCTTGGCAGCTCTTCCCATCTGCGATTAAAGCAGGAGGAGGTTTAACAGTACCTACTGATTCAGAGGGATCCACAGAGGCCCGTTTGAGGCTGCTCCGTGGTTCTGTCTTCGCCGCAGACATCACAGCCGGAGAACCGGCCCACAGTGGGTTTCTCTGCAGCTGAAGCTCATGGGGCTTTAAGCTTTTTACTTTCAGACTGCTGCTTAACCACAAAAACTCATTTAGTAGTAAAACAAAAACCAACAACAGACGTTTACTTGTGAGATTTGTGCCTGCAATCAAACACAAACTGACATCCAAATGGGTGGAAAACCTCAGTGTGATGAGAGGGACAAAGTCTGAACTTCTTTGTCTGCTTCAACTGAAAATGACTGCGCCAGGCTTTAATCTGCTGTTGAATAAAGTTTAAAAAACAAAACGCTTTGATTAATTTTTTAACATATAAAGTAGCGGTTTTTGTCTCAAATCCCAGCTGTTATCTAATAGGGTGGAGAAGCAGGTCTTCAGAGGGAGACGGAGTAAAACAGCACTTCGGTCTACGGAGGGAGAGAGAGGCGTAGCTATGATGACAACAGAACTGATAAGTGGCTGAGTAAAAAGGAGGTGGTACACTGGAAAAGTTTGGGCAGGGCTATCCGAGCCCTGCGCAAATATGGAAATGTGTCACCATTTCTAAAAAGCTAATGAAAAGGATTTCTCCTCAAATCCTTGAAACATCCCCGATCATCGAGTGCCACATGAACCCCAAGTCGTCATTGCATGCGTGATGTAGAAGTTACAAAGAAACCTAATGAACTGCTCCAAATAAGGACAAACACTCTTTGGCAGCAGGCTGAATTACATCACAGTAAAAGCTTGTGTTCCCAGCACATCCTGGCAAAGCCAAGCCTTGCAAATACAGTGTGTGTGTGTCTGTACAGTCAAGTGTGAGAGGGGACGTTGTTATCATTTGGGCAGACTTTCAACTTCAGGCCTGTCACTGCTCCCTAATGTCAGAAGAAGGATTAGACAGAGGAAAAGGGCCCTTTTCTTCTGGCTGTTAACTCCAGACAATCAGCACAACCAATTGTTATGCTGCTCATGTTCTGCAGGGTTGGAACATGAGAAACTTCCAGCTATGTGGGAAGCCTCATGTAAACGGACGTGTTTATTTCTACAAGGAAAAAAACTAAGAATAAAAATCTGGTTTTGCAGCTCCATTCAAGAAAAAGCGATTTACCACAAGCAAGCACGTGAGAGTCGAGTCAAATCAACACCCAGACAGAGGTCCCAGTGGCGTGCGGGAAAAAACTGTTTAGGCGTCTCACGTGAGGAGGGGGCAGGGAAAAGCAGAATAACAGCCATGTGTCAGTGACCCCTAACCTTCAGGAAAAGCAGGGAAATGTGAGCAAGTATCATCTGCGTTCTTTCCCACTCGGAAAAACAACAACCGGAGGGGCTGAATGGGATGGAAACTAATAAGCGGGGCACCTGACACAGCTAAAGGTAAACGGTGCCACATCACAGGTCCTCACAACACCCAGGGCAGGGAACGATAAGAGGAGTGTTAATGACACATGGCAGTCCAGGATCAGCGCACCAGCTTTTAGTTCTTCCACATACTAACATAAAGAAAATTATCCTGAGCTGGCCTTGGAATGAAGTCACATCACTCATTTTCCTTTATTAAAGAAGTTTTTATATCAATTTAAAAAAGTTTGAAAAACAGGTCTCACTCAAGAATTGGCTCTGCTACTATCATTTTTGGCTGCTTGCTTCAACGGCCATAAAATCCCAAAATGTATTCTGTTTATGCAACCAGAAGAATGGGAGCTCTTCATCACAGTCACAGTAATGACAGGCACGCAGAACTTGGCCCACACAAAAGGCCACAAGAGGAACAAAGCTCAGCTGAATGCTCCTCCTCTCATGACGGGGACTCGGTACTAAAGAGATGCCAACAATAACCATGGACCAAAGAACCACTTTAAATTACACAACTTCTGTTAGCCGTGTCTCTTTCAGCGGCTCTGCTTCTGGTTTCCGCTTGAAATAGCAGAGCTCATGAGGCCTTCCCGTAAACACCTTCATCTTCTGTTGAATCTGGTGGAAATGTTTTTTTTGTATCGCCCACCTTTTCCTAAGCTGCTGATATACTGAAACTGGCAAGTCTGAGAAGGAAAACCAAGCCTTCAGAAACAATAATTACAGGAGTTAAAGTATCCTGTGCTTCCTGAAGGGCTTTATGTGATCTTGATGTGCTCAGCTCCTGTGTGACTGAGTGGGGTGTGAGTGGATGCCAGACTCACCGTCGGTACAGATGAAGCACTTGCAGAGACACACACACAGACACAGGAGGAGCACCGCTGCCACGCCGCACACCGAGATGAGGATAATCATTGCCGGTGGCACTAAAACACAAAGAAACACACATTTCCATCGTGACCCTGCCGGGTTTGAATCAGAATCAGAAATACTTTAATAATCCCAGAGGGAAATTATTTAATCCCAGAGGGAAATTATTTGAAAGTGCGGCAGAAGCAGCTTGACATCTGGACTCAACATGTGAGAAAGGATCGCCTTATGACAAAAAAAAAAAAACACAAAAAAAAAAAAAAATAGCACTTCCAGACATTACAGGATGCAGGAGCCCATCAAAGTGGTAACTTCAAACTTTTGAGGGAATCACACAAAGGCCTTGCCCTGCACCCAACAACCTAAAATCCTGAAGGCTTCTTACTGCTGGTATTGAGGGAGAGGGTCAGCGGCTTCTCCAGACCCTGGTGGTGCACGATGCATTTGACCGTCAGGTCACTCAGCAGAGCTGATTGGAAGAGCAGCGTGCTGGTCACCATCGTCGTGCCGTCACCCTCTTCAAACGTGGAGGAAATGGGCGGTCCCAGAGTCCGGTTGTCTGCGCCAACGCTCCACGTGAGTTCTGCGGCGGGCCGGGACCGGGCCGTGCAGTTTGCCTCTGTGACTCCAGGAGATGTCGTCACATGGCTCACCTCTGGTTTGGGTAAAACTGGGGAGAGACAGGAGGGTCATGTGCAAATGACCAAACACTTTTATGGATGCGTTTCACTCTGCTACAGGGGAGGTGGACAAAAAGGAGAACACGGCCCGACAATCAGCACACCCGGAAGACACAAGTCGCCCTCTAATAGGCAACAAAAGCCAGACAGGCAACACAGGCAGAGCAGCTTTTACCGTCTGTGTGTGTCTGGACCGTCGGTTCTGTCAGCCGGACAAAAGAAAAGCCTGTTCAGCCGAGCAAGATGGACACACACATTCACACACACTGAGGCTTTGTGTCCAGGAAACAGTGAGCCACTCATCCCCTGGGCCGTGTCCCACATTAATCACCACTTTCCCCTCAGTGAAACCCCTCCCTGATCGTCACTGCACACACACACAAACAAAGAGAAGGACCACTCACTTCCAAACGCTAAAAACATCTCAGAAAGGGAAAGGAAGAAGAAAAAGAAGGTGAGGTGAAGTGTTGCTGAGGGACGGCAGCAGGCCAGAACAGTAGTTTAATGGCCGCCTCCGGAACCCCTCACCTCCAGGGTTTGTTTATACACAGCGCTTCCTTTTTCCTCACACACAAGCACACGTTTCCTCTCATTTCATGTATAATTCCAGCACACACAGTCGACAGAGCTTTGTCTTAAAAGCAGCTCTTTCAAACAGCAACACAAGCTAAAGAAAAAGCGACCTGAAAATGCTTTGCCATCCTCTCCAGCTGCCTAATTAACAATTAATCTAATTCCTAAATCCCTCTTGGTAGCTGTTAAGCAGAGCTAATAGCTGCTGATTGCTATGAAAAGGTTTTAAAAAGCTTAAGTATCTATTTAGCTTTCAAACCGGTTTCAGACAATCTTTTCTTAAAATGATTCATAAGAATCCAAATCTCAAAGCTCTGAAACAAGTCAAAGTTATGAGAGCTGAAAACGTGTTGGAAAAGAAAAATGTAGAAACTGTAAATAGTGAGTACATTTATGTAGAGTAGAGAAAGCTTTCTTTTTGCAGGTCTCACCATACACAGAGAGGCAGGCGGTGGCGCTCCTGGTGCCGTCTGGGTAGGTGTGAAACTCACAGGTGTAGCAGGCCTCGTCCTCGGTGTGGACCTGCTGGATGGTCAGCTGGGTGTCTCCCAGCGTCCAGCTCAGACTGACCCGACCCTTGTATTGCTCCTCCGTGTGGTGGCTTAACTTGGAGAAGAAGGCCACGGTGGTGGTGTCGCCCTGCTCGGCCGTCTTCCTCCACAGCACCTGGCGAACCCTCTCAGGGAGGCTGTACCAGCAGGACAGGGTGACCGGCCTACCACTCACGGCCGTCCTGTTGCCCTCCAGGTGCACTTTACCTGATGGACAGACAGTGCCCCTTTTATTGGGATTCGCTTTCAAAGACCCGCCTGTATCCCAAGCTACTGCAGAATTGGGATAAAAGAGTGTTGGAGAAACAGCTCTTCACAGGAATAACAGGAAGAGCTCAGTGAGGGCGGGTGGGTGGTCTCTCTCAACTTTTCTGTGCTGCTTCCTGTTTTAAAGGCACTTTGTGCAAATGAGGAATTCTGCACAACTCTAATCAGAAGCAGTCTGAGCGTTACTTAACAAATAAACAAAGGCTTTGTTTTTACATGGAGAGAAGAACAAAAGTTCAGATGTCAGGTGGCGCCGCGGCCCATGAAAACGACCTGGATTAAACCACTGACCCGGAACGATTACAAGAAGCTTTACGATCTAAAACACTGAGAAACGGCAGAACGGCGGTGCCCGACCTGTGACATTGATGCACGTTGAGCCCTCTTGGCGTCCCCTGGGGAAAACATCAAAGATACAGTGGTAGCAGCCTCCGTCGTCCGGCGTCACTCTCTGGATGGTGATGTAGCTGGCGTCGCTGTGGGAGGCGGTGAGCTGCACGCTGGGCTCCCGGTGGCTGATGTGAACCGGCACGGTCTGCTCGTACGCCAGAAGCAGCTTGGAGTGCTTGTCCAACCAGCGCACTTGGCGAATGGTGTCGCCCGCTGCGGTGGTGATGTTACAGCCCAGCAGGAGGGGGCGGCCTGCCTCCGCCGTCAGGCTGGCAGGAGCCCAGACGTCACCTGACGCAGGGGGCAAGCAGCCAGAGCGCTACATGATTAAATGTGAGAACATTCGTTTCATAATATATCCCCAGCATTCCTTGTTTGATAAGTTCCTCAGACTGCCTTGCAATTTGTTTATTTCTGTAGGCGTCTCAAAGACTTTCCTAGATCTTGGCACCTTTAAAAAAGAAAAAAATTAAAATCTTTTTTTAAAATTATACTCCGTATCAGTCCAGTCTTTTGACATGATCCTAACAGACCAAACAGACGTTTACATAGAACTGTGTCTGACGCAGCTTGAAAACAGTTGTTCCCATTGTTGTCATTTTTAAAAACAACAGTAGGACCAGGATGAAATAATAATTCTGCACACTGAGAGCTTCATCATCCAACACCCGAGTATATATCAGCATGTAACAGCGGGGCCTTTAAAGGAAACACTTGAGTAAATTGAATAAGTAGAGAATATAAATTGATGTGCCAGGTCTAAAAAAAAAAAATTTAAAAACTTTCTCCTGCAGATCAGCAGATTGAGTGCCACAAAATGGTTGTTTGTCATGGAAGTAAGAGGTTTTTCTTTTGTCATTTTGTAATCTGTGGCATAACCGACTAGAACGTCTGGCAGTATTTACAGCTGCATACCGTCACATTATAAAAAAGGAGTGGCTGTTCGAAAAAGCAGCGTCTGGATGCAGAGTGTACCTGCTGCCGTGGAGACCTTCAGGCCGACAATCCACAGCAGCAGACAGGAGGGAAAAGCGGGTCCACACATCGCACACCAAATCAGGGATACCAACTCAGACACTGACCCTCAGTCTCACATCCAGTCTGCAGCTGAGAACACAAACACAGTCAGAGGGCTGCGACCGCAGCCTGAATCCTCCTGGAAGCCACAACGGTAAACACTCCTGACAGCTTACGCCCACAATAAAAAGTCTAAATAGAAGATGTGGCATTTGCAGATCGAAGCAGGAAGCCGTGAGGCGCACGTACCCCGCCAGCTGTCCGGTGACTTGTGGAGCTGCCGCTGGTCAGAGCAGCCGTCGCGGCATCCTACACGCACGCCGGCAGCTGGAACAGGAACCACAGGACGGCATCAGCTATGACAGATTCCCCTCTCAGTGGCTCATTAAGAAAATCTGAACCTTTCTTTGAGAGGTGGAGAAATGATGCCAGGTGTTCCCATAGCAACATGCAAGCCTCAACAACAATAGTCACTTCAAGAAACATCACCTGGGGTTTAATAGAGGTTTTACATGTTGATCACAGGATGTGCTCAGCCCCACTAAGCCCATAATCATCAGAGCCAAAACAAACTCACACCTCAACGTCTAGACAGCAGCAAGGGCTGAGATTTCAAATTCGATACCTCAGAAGAAATTACAGGCTGAATAATGAGGACAGAAGACATTAGTCATTCAGGTGAGCATGAAGAGAAGGTTTGTGTCAACAACAGTGGAGTCTGATTAGGGGACATTGTTGGGATGCTGGGTGTTGTTGGGTGCTGCTGTTTGGAGACAACATAAAAACGCCACAATTTATGTTAAAAAAACTAAACAAAACGGTAAAATCAGGCCTCAGTCAGGCAAAATGTTTTTTTTTTCTTTTTCTAAATGGGAAAGATAAACCTGTCTCAGGCACCAGACGCCTGGGTCCAGACCTCGGAGCTTTATAGGTGTGATTTGCTTTTTAACTAAGCCAAACATCTGGCTTCAAACATGCAGCCTGCTCCTGTCGGGCAACAGTTAAACCGCTCTCCACTGCAAAACCTCTGCTGCAGACGGCTCTAATCATCCCATCCGCCTCCCTCAATCTGCTGTCAGGCTTTTCAGGTCCAACTCCAGCTGATGCACCCCAGAGAGACCTTTGAAATGTTGCAGCATGTGTGGCATTTAAGAGACTGCCTCAATAAAAGGAAACTATGGTGCAGGACCTAGCAGGCGCCCCACAGGTCGCAGGGGGTGAAAGGAGCCTGGCAGCCAGAAGCCTAAAACAAGACTCTTTGGGGTTTGTTTTAAAACATCCACAGCTGGATAGCATCCAGAAGACAGCTGTTGCATGAGATTTCCCGCATACACAGTGAAAAAAATAAACCATTCCCACATTTTTTTAAAGAAACACAATCAAGCCTATCCAGTTCTTTTTAATCTTCCATCTTGAAAAGCTTGACCCTGTTAAAGCCTCCCTGTAAATGAACAAAAACAGGTGCCGCAACAAAAACATTCCGTGGCAAAGATGTGCTTTAAATCTTTAAAAAATCAAAGTAATCCAAAGTCAGCCACGACGTCCTCATTTCTGGTCTTGCTTAAGTCATTATAAGCAAAAAAAGCTGATTGACAGCAGGTGTTTTCAATTTCCTCCAAGTAAAAAAAAAAAGTCATGCAGTTTTCAGGGATTTTAAATCATTTTCTGGACATTTGGTCACAATTTAAATGACACGCTGAGCATGAAAACATGGACCTTACCGTAAGAGAAGTGCTCACTCCGTGGGAGAGGGATGCTCTCTGTGACCCAGGGAACGCCAAACTGCTGCTGCAAACTCCCGGCTCCGGGCTTTAAGCTGGGACCTCACTTCCTGCTGCCTCGCGCTGTCCCAGCTCCCGGAAAAGGTGAAGAAACGGAGCCCCCTGGTGGTCAGAGGGCGCTACTGCTGCTCTAATCCGGCAGCGGGGGTTGAAGCGATGGAGAATAATGATTACTACTTCTGTTGTTATTGTGTTGTAACACCGAGTAAAGATTCACCTGTTTATGTCATTTCGATTGAAGATGCTATTGTGTTGTTATCTGTTTTTTGTTGTTGTTTTTTTTCCCCATCTTGTACATTTAATCTTGTTCATGTTTACATTTTATATTAAATTACAATTCCTTACTTACTTTATTTACTTTATTTATTGTCGAGCCCCATCTCTGGGGCGGCAACAATTGTTTCTCTCATTTTTCTCACATGAATGTTACAGTTACATCGGATGATATCTTTGATTTATTCATTTGACTGACTCCAAGACTGCACTTCTTCCACTTCTTAACAAAAGCGAGGTTAAATCAAAAACACAATTAACTTGATCATTAAAAGGAAAATGCAATGGGATGGTTTAGCAAAAAGAGAGGCATTGTTCAAATAATCAAAAGAAATGATAGATAGATGTGATGGAGTATCGTGTTCCACGCGATGGCATCCCCATGAGACATCACAAGCTTCAGTCGTCATCTGGCTCCCTTGCTCTTCTTTTGAACAATGTCTGTTAGGTTCCTACAAGCAATAATAGAAGACAACTTGCTTAAATGATTTTACTTACATCGAAATAAATTGTGACGTAAAGAGTGCAAACAGTGTTTGTGGACTCACATCTGCTGCTCAGTGTAGTGTTGATTCATTCACAACTGCTGAATTAACTCTGAGTTCCTGAAGGGAAAGTGCTCATGTGATCATGTGACCAAAAAGGTAGATACAAATGCTCCATCATCAACAACAGAATTAAACCTGTTGTGCTTTTTCTTTTCTTTTTAATACTACAATGACAGCAGCAACAAACCCACAGACAAAACCACAGACGGACAACACAATAATCCAAGGGAAGCCTGATTGACAAAGAAAACACGGTGATGAGGATTCATGTCATTATGACCACTGAAGCAGATTCAGATTCATCAATTCTGGCTCTAGAAACTCGAACAATCTAAAAAAAACAATATTCTGAGTTCCTCACCGTCAGCAGGTGTGGGTCTGAGCTCAGGAACCAGCACAAAGGCCTGTGTCTGAGGACCAGAGAGCACCCGGGCTGCACATCCCACCCGGGCGCCGCCGGCTGACGCCACAGCTGGCAGCACAGCTGTGCGGCTGACTGTGACGGTGCCGTTGGCGTTGTGGACCCTGGCGGAGCTGTGGTGGGAGAGGCTGAGGTTTGGCCCCGCTACGGTCAGGTTCACGGCGGGAGCCGGCCGGCCCGTGGCTGAACACCACACCACTGGACCCTCAGAGGAGTTGGAGGGCCGGATCTGCAGGACCGGCTCGTGCAGCTCTGCAGGTGAATACATCAAAAGTGACTTGTTAGGTGAATGTTTCCAAGAAAAACTAATTCAAACTACAGCGCAGTTAGTTTTCTCACCATAGAGTTGAAGGCAGGTTGTGCCGGTCAGATATCCGTCAGGGTAGGTGGTGAACACGCAGTCATAACAGCCCTCATCCTGCCCCGTGACGTTCTTCACCACTATTGAGTTTTCCTGCAGTTCAGCTTTTTTGAACCCGATCTTATCCTCGAAGCCCAAATTCACCGTCTGACCAAAGTCTTTGTTGTGAGAGGCGACGTTCGTTTTCGCGTCAGGTAAGATTTTCTGCCACGTGACTTGAAGAACATTGGTGTGTTCTGGGAGCGTGCAGCTGAGGTGAGCCTCTCCTCCGGCCGCAGCCGCCACAGTCTGCTGCGTCTGGACCAAAGCTGTGTGACCTGCACAGAAAAAAACACCACAACAGCAGGGGAGGAGGAAGTTTGGATGCTGCGTAATGTGGGAATGAAAACAGATTTCTCATACATCAATATGCATATGCTGAGACTTTTCATATTTGATAAAGACCTCAGTACATCTTGAATGTGATGGAAGCAACGTGTCACAAACATGCTGGAACTGAGGCAACGGAAGGAAGGAAATACTAAAAAAGACGCAGTGGTGAAACCGGTAGATTGTAAACGGCTCTTTAACACAACTGGACACAAAGGGAGCACATTCAATAGAGTCTTAAGCTGTGCAGATTCACAGAAATTTGGAATTGTGCAATTATGGAACAATTCCAGGGTCATATGAAAATATCTGGACTATTTCCTCATTTGCCCAGTTGATATAAATAATGAGATATATGACAGTATACTGTATAATATAACACAACATAAACAGTGTGTCAGCTCGGATGCAAAAGGAAAACCAATGAAAGTTAACACAAAAAGCATCATGAAAATCTTTGAATCGGGAACAAAAGAGCTTATCTGCATACTGAGGCAAAGGAAGGTGCTGCTTTCCTGTCTTACCTTTTGGAAAGACTCCACACACAAAAATCAGGCACACAAACGCACAAAGCTCCATCCTTGCTGCAAGCAACAGAGCTGAAATCAGTCTTAACCAGTTAAATAAGCTGTCGCTGACAAACGCGTTACTCTCAACGGTTACGTTTCATGCACAGTGCCCCTTTTTCTTTTAAAAAACAGCTTCCTCAACAGGAAGCAAAAAAGCCACACAACTCTAACCATAGGCAGTCAGAAATGCCAGCGCTATCGCAGCTGTTTCATTACCTCCTATTTGCTGTCACGAGGTTATATTTACCTTTATTGACTTTATCCTGTTATATCAGAGATTCAGTCTCCAGTGAATAGAGAAATACACACGTGAAATATGAGCACTGCTCTCATCCCGTATCCAGAACTTTCAAACAATTCTTGCCACATGAAAGTTTACTCGACGATGACATAAATAAGTAAACCCATCCATCCATTTTCCTGTGCCGCTTGTTAGTGCTGCATGTCATGAACTATATCTTTTCTTATTCCAGAGGTTGGCTCTATACGAGCCCATCGTCTATCCGAGATGAGCTTCACCTCAAGCTTGAACCACTTTTTTTTGTTCCAAATTTGCAAAGTTCCCTTGTTGTGAAAGGCGGTTGTGAGGTGTGAAAATGAGGTGAATTAATGACTCATATCTCCCCGCGATTGAGGAATAGATCACCACGTGTGCCCAAGCTCTGGGGCAGCTAAAAAGAGAAGCTACATTAGCACTGACAAATTGTGTTTGACTTACATGTTGCAATATAACGATAACTGCACTACCAAAAACACAAAACAGTGATCCAAAAGGACAAGAAAAATCATACCTGCATCAGGGGACAGCAGCGTGACGTCACTGAAACCTCTCACAGACAAGAACCTGATCACAGAGCATCATTACCAAACCAGTGGGGAGCTTGAGGAGTTTTGTGCCATCAGAGGGCCTCGGCTGGCATTAGCATCACAACCTTCTTTCCAATGAAAAAGGTGCAGAAACGGTGTTGCATCAGCATCATTTCCAATGAGGCCGAACACTGACAGGAACAAATGAGGATCCAGTGGGATCAAAATAGTGTCTTTATTGTTACAACATGCCTTTTTCTCATTGTTTGCTAAATATATTTATATGAAGAATCCCTCAGAATTCCACAGGAAACAGAAAGTAGACAGTGGGAGGAAAAGAAAGTGCAGAGGAAAAATTAGAGTCCAGTTATTGGTCAACAAATTTAAACAAATCTTCTTTACTTTTGTCTGTGGTGACAAAGTCCCGCACACGCGTGTGCATTCCTGCTGGCAGCAAAGCCCGGACCTCCTCTTCAGACAGTAGGAGAATACTTCATCTGCTGAGAGCTTTTTACTCCTCTACACTCTGATTTCCTCACTGCAGTCCTCAAACAACCTTTTTGCTGATGAACGGGACTCTGGCGTGCGCTTGTTTCCTGGACTTTTCACGGCTGAAGGCCGCTGTCTGATCTCAGCCTCCTGCTTGATTAAAGGCGTGCGGATGCTGAAGATAAACACAACAGATCCCATCAGCTTTATGTCATACAACACACGCTTTGCTCCAATTAGGAAAGGTTCTTACTTATGTGGGTCTGGGGTTGGTTTTTGTGGTGTTTTGGTTTGCTCAAGGTCCCTGAGAGGATAAGAATTAGGAATTAAAAGAGAGGAGGAGATTTAAGGAAAAAAACTTAAATCCCCACAAAAACGTTTTGTGTTGTTCTGAGCAACACTCGAAGTCAATAATCCTTTCAGCTGTTAACAGCATCACACATACATGACAATCCTGAAGCTGAGGGGTGAACTTACCCGTTCCTGGATTTCATTTTCTGCCGTAGAACGATGAATGCAACAGCAACACAACAGGCCAACGCCACAAGCACAACGGCGACAATGATCCAGGTGGAGCCTAAGAGAAAAAGAGGGAAATTAAGACATGGATAGAAGATTACAGGGAAGTCAGTCATCAAAACGGGCTGAATTTACTGTGATCAGAGCCCAGTTGCTAGAAAATAAAAACCTCAACCATCAGGAGATCATGAAACTGATTGAACATTACTTGACATTATCTTACTTATCCCTCTGTCCCAAGGTCCAGATTCTGTATGAAAAAAGATAAACGCAATTCACAAACTGCTCATATCTCTCACCGTCAGCAGGTGTGGGTCTGGGCTCAGGAACCAGCACAAAGGCCTGTGTCTGAGGACCAGAGAGCACCCGGGCTGCACATCCCACCCGAGCGCCGCGGGGGGGGGGCGGCCGACAGCACAGCTGTGCGGCTGACTGTGACGGTGCCGTTGGCGTTGTGGACCCTGGCAGAGCTGTGGTGGGAGAGGCTGAGGTTTGGCCCCGCTACGGTCAGGTTTACGGTGGGAGCCGGCCGGCCCGTGGCTGAACACCACACCACTGGACCCTCAGAGGAGTTGGAGGGCCGGATCTGCAGGACCGGCTCGTGCAGCTCTGCAGGGACAAGTATATTCGGTCTTCACATGACTTTACAGAGACTTTCTCTAAAAAAAATAAAAAAATAAAAAAAACGCTCTGTGAACTGCGTTTTCAGTCTTACCATAAAGTCTGAGGCATGTTCTGCCGATCAGAGCTCCCTCAGAGAAGGTGTTAAACAAACAGCGGTAGCAGCCCTCGTCCTGCTCCGCCACCCTCCTGATGACCACAGAGAGGTTCCTCAGTCCACTGCACTGAAAGTCCATCTTGTCCTTCAGGTCAGCGTTCACTCTGGAGCTGAAGAATTTGCTCCACGTGGCGAGGTTCTTCTCTCCGCCGGGATGCAGCTTCTGCCAGGTGACTTGCAGGACCTCTTTAGGCTCGCTGAGCCGGCACCGTAAGCAGGCCCGCTCTCCCACAGCAGCCACCACCGTGCTCTGCGTCTGGACCACCGCCGGCAGGCCTGCACACAGGAGCTCCTGTGACTGTGGGCAGCAGATTCACCTGGAGGAGGGAGGTGGGACTCCTGCCCTGCTGGAGACGCTCACTGGAAGGCTTTCTGCCCTCATGCCGCTTTAGAAATCTCACACACATTTCACTCGCTAAGTGTTGTTTTCTTTAGCCTCACTTTCTCCGTCATTGCAAGTTCATCCAACTCCATTTCTCAACACTTTTTTTCAGAAAGCTGCTTAACTCTGAAACAGACCGCTGAGAAATGAGACGCCTATTTGGCCTGTTTTTAGCCACTAATGCATTACGCTGCACATTTGTGCCCTCACAAGTTTGTACTTTGAATGCATCTGCAATGTTTGATATCCTGGATCAGTCAAATAAACACAATCATAATAGTGCCCTTAGGAATTATTTCAAATCAGCCCGCACAGTCTGCATGCCCCAGAAAAAATAGAGAATGAAAGAGAAAACGCTCAGTCGACGTCTATTCCAGGAGAAATGACAGCCATTACAGGGCAGAATGCAAGTTTTCTGTCTCACCTTTTGAAAGTATCCCCCACAGACAGAGGGATCGGAGGATTGAACGAGCTGCCATGACTGGAAATGCGCGCTACAAAATTTGAAATCACGGATGGTGTGCGCGCACGGTTGGAGGACGGCCCATGAAAAAAAGAAAAGAAAGGTAGGGACGAAAAGGACAATGCACCATGGAACCTGGCACAGCTGGGCTGAATAAAACACAACCTCTTAAATTGTGCTTTGTAAATTAAATGCATTTTTGGGGAAAAAGAAGATATAAACATTCCTCACTTTCACTTTCTTTTTCTTCCACGGAGTTGCCGCCTGCGTGACGCTGTTGTGCGCAAATCCCGGGAGGAGCTAGATTATGGACAAATACAGAGACAAAAATGATCGACTAGTCAGACAGAACAGACAAAAAACACAAAGAAAAACGCACATCCCCCGAGTTGTGACTGGAAAGAAAGTTTGCAGACATTTTTCTTCATGAGGTGGAAAATGTTTCGTGCTGCGCCAACATGAAGTGTCCTCATATTTCTAAAGGCTAAAATGGAAATATATGGATAAAAGGTTGAATGGATTACTGGCATTAACTGTGTCACCACAACAACCCTGATGTTTGCAGTCAGCAGACCCCAGAAGGGGTTAGAAAAATCAAGAGATGTATATTTATAGTCATTTCTACTCACACGTGTATATATTTGTTTATGCACTCATAAACCATCTTTTGCAAGAGATAAATAGAACCCAAACTATCAAGTTTATAAGGAAAGTCCACTTTATTTGTACATATTGTGAGTACAATACAAAACAAACTGCTCTGCATAAAAAATTAAAAAAGAAAAATGCATAAAAAAGTAAACATTAAGAATAAGTTAAACAAAGTAAAAACAAGATTAAAAAAAAAATGAATGAAAAATGAGCAGCCCAGTTCAGTTCTGGACTATTCCAGACTGAAAGAGCAAAAAAAACAAAAACAAAAAAAACATCACTGGTCAAACGTCCTTTTTTTATAACACAGGCTTTGCTCCAATTAGGAAAGGTTCTTACTCATGTTGGTCTGGGGTTGGTTTTTGTGGTGTTTTGGCTTGCTCAGGGTCCCTGAGAGAATAAGAATTAAAAGAGAGGAAGATATTTGAGGAGGATACAATACACCACCGGTCAAATGTTGAGATGTCCGTGTGTTTCAACATAATTCCTTCAGAAGACTCTCATACTCCTTTGTTTCTTAAAGAATAAAAAATAAAATCAACCCTGGTCAAACTGAGAGGATTTTGGGGTTATGGTATTTGGAACAACGCTTTCTCCCCCCTCTTTTACAGGGGTTCACTGTTTGAGCAAGTTTTCAACGCTACAAGTTCCTCAGTCCTTCACAAAAAAAAAAATATATATATATTTCTTTTCCATTTAAAATGTTTCACTGCTGAAATAAAACCACATCAGGATAACGATTTGAGGGGCACCAGAATGCAGAAAGAACATGACATCAGCCAGGTGCAAAAGCATGAAAACGCTTTTAGGATTTTAAATCAGAAAAACATCTGTGAAGAATGGCAGAATTAGCCGTCTAACCTTAACGTTTCTTCCCTTGCATTTTCAGGATTATCATTCATCCCCAAATCCAAGTGAGGCTCTCTGAAAGAACAAACCTCTGTGAGTGGATGAACACACAGACTTTCCAACGACACATGAATGTGATAGAATTACCTTTTCTGAATGATTTTTCTAAGCCTGGGAATGATGGCAGCAGTACAAATACAAACACACAAAATAGCTGAGGGAAAAATAGGCCACCCTTTGAAAAAAACAAAAAGACATTTAAAAAATGAATGAATGAAATCAATGAATGAACGGTATCATGAAAATGATTAAACATTACTTGACATTATCTTACTTATCCCTCTGTCCGAAGGTCCAGATTCTGCATGAAAAAAGTTAAACGCAATTCACAAACTGCTCATATCTCTCTCTGAGTTCGACAGCGTGAAGTGAAGAGTTCCTCACCGTCAGCAGGTGTGGGTCTGGGCTCAGGAACCAGCACAAAGGCCTGTGTCTGAGGACCAGAGAGCACCCGGGCTGCACATCCCACCCGGGCGCCGCCGGCTGACGCCACAGCTGGCAGCACAGCTGTGCGGCTGACCGTGACGGTGCCGTTGGCGTTGTGGACCCTGGCAGAGCTGTGGTGGGAGAGGCTGAGGTTTGGCCCCGCTACAGTCAGGTTTACGGTGGGAGCCGGCCGGCCCGTGGCTGAACACCACACCACTGGACCCTCAGAGGAGTTGGAGGGCCGGATCTGCAGGACCGGCTGGTGCAGCTCTGCAAGGACAGTGGTCATCATTAACATGTCGATGGTACATTATCTCCACCCACTGTCAGTACTGTTTATGGCACATAAACCGCAGAGTGAATGAGTGGAGCTTAAGCCACAAACCTGTCAGGGTCTTACCATAGACTTGGAGGCAGGTTTCACCTTTTAGAGCAAAATCAGGAAAGGCGTTGAACAGACAGAGATAACAGCCTTCATCCTCTCTCGTAACATTTCTTAGTACTATGCTGTTTCTCAGCAGTTCAGCATCTTTAAATCTAATCCTATCTGTGAAGCCAGGATTCACTGTTTGACCCCTGTACTTATTGTAGGAGGCCAGGTTCTGGTCTTCGTGAAGCAGAACCTTCTGCCATGTGACCTGATCGACTTCCTTAGCTTCTTTGAGCCGACAGCTGAGATGTGCCTCTCCGTCCACTGCGGCCAGCACAGTGGCCTGCGTCAGTACGGCCGCTCTTACAGCTGCAGGACACAAGGGCACAGAGATAAGAGCTCATCTAGAATAAACTCCATCCATCCATCCATCCATTATCAATACCGCTTATTCCCTCATGGGGTCGCGGGGGGAACTGGAGCCTATCCCAGTGGTCAACGGGCGAGAGGCAGGGTAAACCCTGGACGGTCCGCCAGTCCATCGCAGGGCCACACACAGGACACACAAGGACAAACAACCACTCACACTCACATTCACTCCTAAGGGCAATTTCCCCAATCTCCAATCAGCCTAACATGCAGGTTTTTGGACTGTGGGAGGAAGCCGGAGAACCCGGAGAGAACCCACGCAGACACAGGGAGAACATGCAAACTCCACACAGAAAGGTCCTGGTTCCCCGGGGATTCGAACCCAGAACACTCTTGCTGGGAGGCGACAGTGCTAACCACCACACCACCGTGCCGCCCCCCTAGAATAAACTATGACCTAAAAATGCTTAACTTACGGAGCAAACTGGATCGTTACGCATTGCCAAAAACAATAAGTGTGTTGTTTCATCTCACCATTCGAAGAAGGTCCAACTGCAAGAAGGTGAAATATGAAAACTCTGCAAAGCATTGTGTCAGCATGCTCCGGCCCATACATTCTGAACTGTAATTTCAAATGTGGAGCGCCTCTCTCTGATTGGTCTGACAGTTAGACTGTACCATTTGAAGGGAGGGGTAACTCATTTCAACAACACAATTTATTTCCTCATGAGATTACAGCGTCCTGATATGTACTCATATGTTCTACTTATCAGGTCTGTACTTGTTATCAGAGACTGGCACCTGCGTTGTTGTTAAAAGCGGGTGTTTTTGTCTTGCCTCACTGAACAGTCGCCACAACGCGAGAGCGTCACCTTCCGGTCTAAAATAAGCAGGAAACTGGCTGAGCTGGAGTGGATTTCAAACTGAGGTTTTCATTATGACTAGTTAGACAGAGCCCCCAGGACAGAGAAGAAAAAAAAGGAGGTAATGAGAGAACCACTGGTTTGTGACAGCTAAAGCGTTCAGCACGGCCTTTGTGTCAGCAGCGAGACAGCAAATGTTTTCAGATGTCACAGAGCGCTGCCCTCACTGGTATGTACACGGAGAGAACTAGTGGGCCTGGATGGATTACCTCATAGTCTGTGGGGTACACTAAGACTAAAAATGCTATCAAAGATAAAACCAGCATGTTACTAAAGTCTGTCTGAAACAACTGAAGATAGGGCTCAGTGAGGAATGTTCACTCTTTTTTCTCTGCTGTAGTAAATCTGTTTTATCTGAGGCACTGTGAGCATCTCATTCAGCCACATCTTGAAGGATGGCTTTGATGGAGATTTCCAGTTTAAATTTTTTGTTTACTTTATGGATCACCTAACCCTAAGCCAACAATTTAGGGTTAACTCTTTTTACAGAAACCTATTATTGCCAAAGTAGTTGCCAGTCTTAATCCCTCTACAGTGGGAACACCGGATCCTGAAGTTTAGTTTTGAATATAAATCTAATTTCATACTCAAAGAAAGCTTTAACACAAGCTCACAAGTCTGGTTTAGTAGTTTCTTAAAATCTCATGTTGCTGTCACTTGAGTTGATTCTGATTTAAGTTCAAGCTGAAAAAACTGAACTATTCCGCTCTGAAATATTTAAGATATATATTGAGGGTTACTTTGTTCACTTCAGTTAACAGAGGCCAATTTATGGAGGTGCATATGCGTATGTCCACTAGCATATGCACTCGATGATAATCCCAGTAAAAGACTTTTGGGAGTCCAGTCAGCGTTCAGTTTCCGAATGTTGCTTTTAAATCTAACCTTTTTAAACCGATTTGAAGGGGGGGAAAAAATTAAATGTCTTATATCTCGAATATAAAATGCAGAACGCAGCTGTGTGAGTTTGAGCACACAGTCATACAGTTTAAATCTGAGCACATCCCACTGAACCAGACCTGAGTTATGCTTTCTCCCAGCAGAGGGAGCACAAACACTTTGCCCCTGCGATGCACTTCTGATAAATGTCCTGTTTTGTTCATTTGCAGACTAAAATATAATCAAAGTGGTGTGTTTCCAAATAGCATTTGGATATTTCCACTTATACATTTGCTCTAAATGAAAATAAGGAATGGAATTGCTGCTAATTTTCAAAGAACATTTACTTAGAGCTAACCGTCAAGCAGCTGTCTCAGAACACGGATCACATGTTGCAATTAATGCGTTTCAAAAATAATGATAATACAAATATGATGCTGTGCTTGATAGGGAATAAATAAAACACATCCAAAAGACATATAATGTTAAATAACAATAACAATAAACAAGTTTTTCAAACATGCATTTGCGCACACAATAATTAACATCTGAAGCACACACAGTGTAAACTGCCAGAAAAATGTCAAACTGAAGGTAAAATATAACCAACATCATAAATCACATCAGTGAAATTATTGACATGTTGTTATGTGTAGTATCAAGTGTCAATTTGTTGTAAGCCAGATAAATTATGTGAGTTTGATAAAGCATTCAGTTTCCATGTGGATGCAGTTTCAATTTGACAAAGAACATGCTCCCTAACATGAACACCAGATGGCACTACACCAACACTCATGTGCTGCTTGTGTTCGGTTACACATTTGCCTTGTCCGCTTAAGATAAACTTTTGCTATTTCAGGCCTCATCAGTTTGTCACAGTGACTAAGAGTGAGCTGCAGCAAAGTTCCTGATGTGATCTGTAAATCACATGATCGCCTCACTGCCGTGAAACCATGCGAGACGCTTGTGCTTGTCCCTCTCTCTGACATTGCTCTGGTTCCTGGACTGGATGCTGCTTTTATACATTCACGAAAATACTTAAAGAATTTTGTACAATCAAAGTGCAGGGTGCAGAGTTGGAGAGAAATGTTATATGGGGAAATAAATATCAACACTCACGCAACACTGTATTTTTTAAATATCCCAAAAAAAATCCTTTAGCTTATTCAGTTCACATGAGAAAAACAAAGGTGGACGGGGGGTAATGCTTGCATGCTCTACGACGGCAAAGGGCAAAGCTGATCACGGAATGTCTCTGGCAGCTCCTTTCCTCTTCAATCTGCTGGAAAGAGAAAACAGCTGAGTTTACTGTACTCAGGGCAGAAGGGCCAACAACACACACTAGAAAAGTAAAAGGCCTCACCTTTTTCGTACGATTACAGCTGTAACGGCCACGCAGATGACTACTATTACAGAGATGATGAGCCCTGCCACCTGAGACTGAGGCTGTTCTTTCCCTGAGGACAAACAGCACACAGTCAGTCTCTGCATAAAGAAAGCAACTCATAATGCCACAGTGTAGAGTGGGTTGGGCTTTCCCTTGTTGTGGCACTTTTTACTTTGGAATCCTACAATCTGCTGGAGGATCTCCCCAGAGAGCTGCCGCTGCCCCCCACAGCTCAGAGCAGCATGACACAAGGTTTCTCACAACATGAAACCAGAGAGGCAAAGTGAAACTGAAACCTTTTGTCTGAGTCACTGCTCAGCTGATTCAAAGGAAACATGATTCAGTGAATCATCTCTTCATCATTTGCGATTTATTGCTTATGTTCCTGGACATTCCCAGCCAGGTTTCATATTGACACTCACTTTTCAGGATGTGACGCCATCATGGATTTTTTATTAAATTCCTGGTTGAGTCAACCATGAAGCACAGATGGGTACTGTTACTTTTTACCCAGCATGATTTTGTGTCAGCTTTGTAGCATTAAAGTTTAAATTTAATGACCCAATACTTATGGTGGTCAACACTTAACCCAAACGCCACCAATACTCAGGCTGAAGAGATAGATAGACTTCCTGATCCCTTAAGGATACCGTCTACCTTTTCCTGTACAAAAGTTAGGTATAGCCAAGGGGAGAATATGGAGCAGGCCTGGGTTTAATATTATTTCAAAAATAATTAGGGGAACTTGAAAATTGATCAGATAAATCATCAAAATAAAAACAAATGTTTAACTTCCCCATATGTCAACCTCTAAAAGGATATAGCTCCTGTCTGACATCATTACCAGGTACTGAGCATGACTGGTCATGATAAACCCTGCCGGGAATTTCTTGAAGGGTCAACATCAGGAAGTTTTTCTGAGGGACTTCCTTGAGCAAGATCAAACTTGTCATTTCAACAGGAATTCCCAACCACACACTTCCTTGACACGGAAGTTATATCATTACATTTTGTGGATTGTAAACTTCCTAAATAGCGGTGTTCCTGTTCAGATAGAACTTCTGCTGCACAAGGAATATTCAGACCTGGTCGTGAGTGGGGCGCTGCCCTTCAGGTTTTTGGATTTGGTTTCCCTGCTTCAACACACCTGATTCAGTTCAATGCACAACTGGCTGATCTAACAAGCTAACAATCTTTTGGAGAGATTCATTTCATCACAGTCGTGTGATTTGCAGCAGGAAAACACCAAAAGCATGCGTGTCACAGCCCCTCCGGATTGGATTTGAAGATCCCTGATGATGACTGGTACATTACTGCAAACTGGCATAGAATGCTTACCCTCCGTCTCATTTCCATCCTGTGAACTGACAGGGATCCGCCTCTCTCGGTTTGTTCCTTTGTTCAGCACACAGTACACATGTCCTGTCCAGTGTGCCGGTATTCTCACTGTGCTGACGTTGCTGGTGGTAACGGTGTTGTCGCCGTTCTTAACAGTGGTCGCCTCAGGTGTGCCGTAGATTTCCGCTCCGGGGGAGAACTCCCACTCAATGGTAGGAGCCGGTTTTCCTGTGGCTGTACAGCTGAAAACCTCATGCCTTTCTTTCTCCTCTTGTCCACCGTTTGTGGGGGTATGGCTTGTGTTCACCTTTGATATACCTGTATGGAAAATAAAGCTTATTACTTTGGGAACTGCAGCTTAATTGTGTGTTGCATGATAATCTTACATAAACACGGGCAGTAAATCAAGTCCTCTACATCTGAACAATATGGGTCCACAATTTACCTTCAACGTGGAGGCACATCTTGTTCCTTTTGGATCCATCAGGGTAAACATTAAAGGAGCAAATGTAGCAGGCTTCATCTTCCCATGTTACATTCCTGAGAGTGATGGCTGTTGTATTGAGAGATGCTTCCGTAAAGACCAGTTTTCCTCTGTAAAGCTCCGTGACCTGCTGTCCAAACCGCCGGCTGTAGGTGGCCAAATTCTCCACAGACTTATCATCGAAAATCCTCTGCCAAGTGACCTGAAGTACACCTGTCAGGGTGCCAATTGAGATTGGGGCAAAGTAAACATGTCAGAGTTACACACAGGAAAATTCATCTTTAATTTTGACATATTGATGATAACTGTAAAATTGTGTCTAATTTGTAAGTGGCTTTGGTAAAAGCGCATGCTAAATGCACGAACATAAACACAAACATAAACATATGTGGGGGCAGATAATGGACCTGGCTGCGTGGCGGCTGAACAGCTGAAATTGGCGTCCCTGCCATGCTCAGCTGTCACATTCCCTGACCCACTGACCTCAGAGGCAGAGACTGAAAGTAAAACACAGATCTGTTGTCAGATAAAAGCAAGCGGCAAGAAAGATATATTTTATTTTTATTATCACGAGTAGTCTTGCCTGACGCTATGTAAGAAAATCTTTTACTGAAAGACAGGAGTCAGACCTTTTCTTAGAAAAAAAGTTAAATTAGTTTAAGGTTCATACAGTAATGAGCTCTGCCAGTGTTCTGCTTTCAAAAGCTAACTTTTAGAGGATTTAAAAGCAAAAACATCTCAATATGTTGGCTGGAGATGATAGTACTGTTTGCGGGCTTCATTTACTGTATTTTGAAGTTATTATTTATGAAGTTATTCATTATATCTCACCACATAATAGTAATAAAATAATGAAATGTTACCTTTGAAATGAAATAATCAGTACAAGAAATTCATTGTTAGTTACTTTCAATCACTTATTCCAGAGTAACAGACACACATACACACAAAATTATTTTAAATATTAATTTAATCTAGATTCAATGTAGTCTGTTGTCAATGACTTACCTTTAAAGAAAAAGCAGGTCACAATCAGAACGAGTAACATTTTCTCCCACTGCTGTAAAGATGAGTTCTGTTCTTCCTCTGAAGCAGCTTTTTATGCATGCATCCATGTAAATGAAACTGAAAGAAGAGGGGCGGGGTTTTCTCTCTAAATTTCAATAGGGGACTGATCAGAAACAATATTATTAAAAAATCGATGTGAAAAGGGACTTAATTTATGACGATAAACCATCTAATAGATGCAGTAGGAAGGATTCTTTCTGAATATTTAGAGATTACACACTCATGAAAATGATTTATAATACTGAAAAAGGATGAACATATTTTAATTATTCTTAACACTTTAAAAATGTTCCTTTGATGGTATTTTTGTTTAAAAGGTCCAAAATCCACTTTAACAAAAACTCTAACTTGCTGTTAATTCTACAGTTTCCTCCTGTGATTACTGTAAGATCCCGTAAATACTGACTGTACTTCTGTACAACAGGCATATATTTACTGGACCTCACACTAAAAACCTCAAGCTGAAAAAAAAACAGAGACCGAAGTTCCTGTTTTTGTTGAGCCTGGTGTTTGAAGTTATAACACCACTGCTCACCCCCCACTGGGAGTTCATGACCAAATTCACATGTCCATTTCGGTAAATGCGTTCACACTTATTTGATTTCTCGGAGTCAGTTTGCACATACAGTGAAAGTTTGAGTTGTATATTGTATATTGGGAAAATCCCCTTTGAGGAGACACACACATGGGATGTTGTGTGATGGGGTTAAACAATGTTACGTTTATTAAAATCTACTTTAGTTGATTAAACCACATTCTACTGGAGAAAACTGGCAAAAAACAAACTTGTGAATTAAATATCAAACATGAAAAATACACAAAAAGATGAAACACACCCCGTTGTGGACTGGGACCTGTCCAGGGCGCACCCTGCCTCTCGCCCACTCTCAGCCCCCTGTGACCCGACTGGGAATAAGCAGTATGGATATTGGATGGATGACCAGTATAAAACACATGATGTCACTTTTCACTACGAAAAATGTCACAGTGTTGCTTCCTTAAATACACAATGTCATCTTTGGTAAATGATGTTCACTTCCACGGCCGCCCTCAAATTCAGGGTGAGTGCACAGGTTTTCCCCATGAACTTTAAAACGGTTTCTCAGGAAGCGGTTCAATAGCGTGTCTGTACCAGCATTGACTCTGCAAATTTAAGACTTCTTTCCTGCTTTTTCGTTATCACACAACAGCAGGCCAGAGTGGAACAAGAGAAAGGTCACAACGATGGAGGCCCACATGTCAGTCCTGTCCTGTGGGTGAGGGGATCTTTGTATCGTTAAAAGTTCTTGTTCTTAGCTTCTAATTCAGTACATATTTATCCCAATGGAAAAGTGTCTAGTGTAATCATGTTGACAACATCACATGTATGGGGAAGTCCTGTATTATTCCTTTTAAGTGTTGTCACGTGAGAGGAAAGAACCCAACTGCTCTTTGGAAGGATTAGGTTTGTGTCAACAACAAACGACAAACACAAAAAACACTTTAAGGTTTTGTTTTTTTAAACCAAGCAATATCTTCCTTTCAATATCATAATGTCATACTGAAAAATACTCATCGGGATCATTTAGATTAGATAGACAAAGTGATTCATACATTGCAGAGGATAAAAAACTTTTAAACACTCCTTATTTTTTATCAAATTTCCTTGAAAAAACATAAATAGCTGTTCACTTCATCTTTCTGTCATGTGAAAGCTACTTAAGGGGACATCTCAAAGCTCTTCTTTGAGTGTCGGCTGCCTTTTTCTGTTCTCTACCAGAGGAGCTCACACTGTGGAGAATGCATCCCGACCTACAATGTGTTGCTAATGATTTTCAGCCCAATTCTTGAGTCTTTTAGGATGCCTCGGCATTTGCTTCCTGTGTTCTTCTCTTAAGAGTGGCTTGTTGACAGCCTCACACTGATACAGACCATTTCTGATGAGGCTCGGACCAGCAGTAGACAGACCCATCTCAAAGTCAGATCTGCTTAACTTTTTCTCACTTTTCTTCATCCATTCCTCAAGCAAGGATTAAAAGGCCTGGACAGAAAGTCTGTGAACAGGCACCCACTATCAGAAAAAGGTCTTTGACAGAACTATGAATGAGGCCCGCTTTATATTCTTACAGTTCTGGTAGGAAATATCCTGAGATGAGGGGCGTCACAAGCCTCCCAAAGTGTGGTACAGATGCATGACTCGGACACTGAATTACATGTGACATGACAAGATACAGCCATTTGTTTCTTAAATCATGCTCTGTACGCATTTTTCAAATCTATTTTTAATGCAGGGAAGTACCTGCGTTACCAGGCTTCTGCTAGCTGGTATTTTAACCTCACCCAGCTGCTTGTGGCAAAAGTATATAGGCCTGCGGAATGATTCAAGTCCCCGCCCAGTAATCTAGATAACACCAGAGTGTACTGTATATTGCTTTAGTTTCAGGATTACGTCCATAATCTATGGTCATCTTTGGACACCAGATTAAATTAGTCAGTCTGCTAATCATGCACAAACAACTTCAGCATTCTGAGTGTCAGATTTACATCTTGTACTTTACAGGTTCAGCTTCATGAGTGAAAAAATAACTATGTGCTGTAACAAGTCCCGTCATTTGTTATTTTTCCAAATGTGTCTTCGCAGTATGCAGGCTGTTTCTCTAAGGGAGAAACACCAAAGGAACGTTTTACTTAAATAACAGCATTTCTCTCAGTCCAATTTAAAAGAAACACATGAAACATTAAATAGTTTGATTATCAGTCATGCTAACCAGAGCAAATGACACAAATTTAATCTAACAACGGTTCATTTAAGCATATTGAAGAATATCACGTGTAAGAAAGCAATCCATTTTCAGCAGAGGTGAAGAATAAGGAGCTGAATTGAAATTATCTGCAAACATAATTAGATAACAGGGAAATTCTTTGATGTTATCTGTTAAATGTTCATGTTCGGTTCAGTACTTTTTTCTTTCTTGCTCCGCGCACACAGTAACCCCCCCAGTAAAGTAGAGCACGCGCTAGTTTACAGTTACCTCTCATTTTCATCTAAAAGGGTTTTTATTGAAAAGCTTGTTCGTGTATGTTTCCAGCCGTGAAAAAAAAAAGTTCTTTACACAGACTTATCCTTCGATGTCTGTTACTTTTCATTAATTTCATCTTTAAATGGCAGATGTGCCATTAAAGACAACAACTGTCTGGGAGATTTGAATAACCAGAGAAATTAAATTCAAAAATAGATTTCAAAATAATCACTCTGTACATTAAACTGTGATGTGGTCAGTCTGTTGAGATTTGAAAAACTCTACCTGTCTGGATTTTACCCGGCAAGCATCAGACACTTTTCTGTTGAAGCTCATCAGCACTGCCAGCCTTGCTTTTTTCACTGTGAAAAGAAAGCTGAATTTTGGCCTTGTTTTTGGGTCAGCTGTTGTCCACAAACTTGTTGACATGTGCATACTTTATCACATGCATCAGATGCTGGATGTGCTGATTCATTTCCCTGAAAAACCCCTTCATTGCCATTGTGCTGAGGAAACCTGTTCTCTGGAAATACAGCAGTTGCAAGTCTGTGCATGTCCTCAATTCTAAGCTCTTCAAAATTCAAACAAGAAATGCAGAAACTCAAATTAAATACATTTTGGTTGTTAATACATATGAAAGTAGGAAGCAAGCACTTCTCACAAAGACATAAAAGGGAGTTTCAGACAAGACCGCCTTCATCCTTATGTTCCTCTAAAAGTCAAAGGGAAAGCTAACTGGGGAAGACCAGACAGGAAAAAGAGATATAAACAATCTTTCACATGAAATATTTACAGAATGGAAGAAAGCCTGAGTAAATTCATAAAGGGGTCAAATATATCCAAAACAGTTTATTTCACATACTTATGCATTCGCACCAAAATGTGAAAATGGCTTCATTACTGGAAAAAAATACAACATGAAAACAACTGGTCCTAACTAAATGATAATGATCAGCAGCAGGCCTACATTGATACAGGAAAGTTGCACATCATGGCATTTCTCAGAATGTAGAAATACATTTTAAAAAGTATATATGAGCTGTGTTACAATACTAACAGGTTTGAGAAAGACAGATGTAGCAAGACGATCATCTACCCCAGATAAAGATAAGTAAGGACAGAATTTGGAACACAGACACATCACAGTCCGTGCCGCCACTTTCTGCAGAACTGAACAGCAGCTTGTTTTTATACACATGAAAATCTATCATCCCTTCCCAGGTATGGAAAAACCTGTTCAAGTTTGTTTGGTGTTTTGGAAGGCCAACATTTTCCTGAGCACACCTCACCGGTTGAGTGAATGCTCTGCAGGCAGGCCATCAACGGAAACAAAGAGGAGGGAGGGAAACAAATCTTTTGGTAGTTACAGATTGCAACCAAATAAAAATTACCTTTCACGCCCTTCCTCTTTTGAACATGTGAGAAAAACTAAAGTGACCTCTCAGATTGTGAAATGCTTTCTTTAGAACCAGAGTTGAACTGTTATGAATAAAACAATACGATAAAATAAAAATAATATGAATTAATTAATAAATTAAAAAAGATATATCTATATTTGTTTATAAAATCTGTTTATTTTCCTTTCTTTTTAATGCACAGACAGATACACTATGCAGGTTAGTGCTCTCAGTGTGATGCATATTAGACAGTAATGTTGAGATGATTTCCCTTTTTCTCTGCATCTGAGCTGTAAACATATCCTCTAAATGACAGCAAATCTGTCAACAGGGTGGTCATTAGTTAACACCAGCAGGGCATCTGGCTGTCCTCCCATGGTTTGTTACATTTATCAACTCTAAATGCTTGCAGGTTGGACATATTTACTATGCAGATAACACAGACTCATGCATGTGCCATATTAAAACCACTTTAGAATACATTCACCCATTAAATGGATAAATGAGGGACACCAGACAAAGATAGACAAAAAAATGTTCTCTATAATCTAATCATTATTTTTTCCATTCTAACATAATTACAGCCAGATAATGAGCACGTCAAATGAAAATGAAAAAAAGAATTATGTTGGTGCCGTTCTAAATAAGCACCAGAGCCATCTTGTGGACAATAGGTGCAAGCTCCTCCCCGATGAATAGTTTGCTCACCTCGTATCCTCTGCAGTTCAAATATTTGAATGAGCAGGATCCAATCTGACCACAGAATAAAGTCCACTCTTTCTTTGTGTGAAGGTGCTGTATGGCTCAATGTCCTGTGACCCCTGCAGCAGAAGATGCACAGAAGCTCATCAGCAGATCGAGTGGCACAACAGTAAAGACAAGAAAAATAAACATAGTACTGTGAATCACCTCAGCTGGAAGACGGCTCTGTGGTTCCTGTTGTCTTCTGGTGACCAGAAAAAATACCAGTTTTTATTACATATGCAATATAGCAAAAAATATATAAAGTTTCCACTGCTTGATGCAAAACGAGGTTAGGTTAGGTTAGATTTGCAGTGTTGCAAACATGAGTATACATAAGATCACAAGAACTTAATCATATATTTTTACTGATAGAATACTTGATGTTTTTCAACAATATGGCACATGATATCATTACAGCCTCATATGATTACCGGCGGTGCAGACTGCTGCACATCAGTCCCAAAATGACTGAAGTCACAGTGATGACCACAGCAACACCAAATAAGACGCCCAGAAAAGAAACTTCTCGTGAACCCTTTCCATCTTCCCTTTCTTGATTATCTAGATGAGCAAACAACAAAAAACAAACACTTTTAGCTCAGAATAACTCGATGAAAAGAGGAATAAGATGTGCTTACCTTCCACTGTGAAGTTCAGATAGATAG